GGCATTTGATACGGACTGGCACGCAGACACCCAGTAGTGCTGCCAACTTACGCAAAGCAGACAACCTGCCCGATTATTTGTATGAACATTTCAACTTATCCCAACGTTGCTCAGGGGCTTGCGAAACTATTAGAACTAGCGTGTGAGATCCTGGCCAGGTAATACCTGAAGAACTGTTTCGAACTGGACGAAACGCTCGAAAAATTCTCACTTTGTGCGGTGCTAATATATTACTCAGACGTGGACCATCTGTTTACTAGTGCGGATCTACATGAAAGGATCGATATACGATTTCTTATTTTGGGACAGAATGTCTGTGAGTCTGCCAGTAGTCTATCTAAAGAATATGATAGTATTGTTCGTCGAAAATATGTACTTAGGCAGAATTAACCGTCAGTTAGCTCAGACGTTAGCTGGACATTGGTCTAATTTGCTTGGACAAGTGATGACGCAATAAAACGGTGCTGTTTTGAGGATTAATGGAAGCCCGGCGTCGTCTCTCACCAAGTACGTCATGTTATCCTGTCATCATATGAACACGGAGACAACGTTCAATGTGTTTTTGCGCAACCAAACGCGACAACGTTGGCAATTAGTAAGACGCTAATAACCTGGCCCATCAACGTGTTATTTGCACCAAACCTCGTAAGGCAATTACTTCGGTTGCCTTGGTCTCGAACGTAACATTTTGCTTGGCATTGCTTGCATTTCTGCTATATATGTGTTTTTCCGCTCATACTGAGTTTTCACCAGAACAATAAACAAAATCTCGATGTCACAAATTATGTCTTCTATTTGCTTTGACGAAATGGACGAAAAGGACTCATTTGTAGCACATTATCGGTGCGGTTTTATAAAATTGCACTTTCATTGCAAACAAACTAAAGCGTAATATCAATATTGGATAGGAAATGCAAATAATGGGTTAATTTCTATTCAAGCTTCAGCGAGCTTTATTCCTATTGCATCAATCGCCAACCGTAATAGATATAGCAGGATGGAGTTACGAGATAACGAGGCACAATATATCGGCTCTGATTTTACCAAGTAGAAAGGATGGTTATGTGATTGGCATAATTGTTGTGCGGTGTTGGGAAGTGGTCATTTAGATTCCCGTTTGAAACTGTGGTGCATTCAATCAAATGTTTGCTAACAATGAACTCAAAAAGAGAGTTTTCCCTGTATCCAAATCTCCAGAAGCTAACGGAAGTTTAATATGAAAATAGCGACAGAATGGTCTTAACGGGCACCAGATCTCACGTAGAGTGACGAAGGGCCTATTGCTGCATTACTGATAAAGATAACGCATTTTGCGAACTTCTGGAGATCTACGGCATCGGATCTAATATTAATTTTTCGAAGTACGTTCAGATTGGTTAATATACAAGGAAACGGCCGATACTAGAATATCAAAACCGTCGACATCAATTTAATATTATTACTTTTCGACAGCCAGGTCTCTTGTACCACGTAAATGGTATGTGAGCCAAATAGTTAAATAATACTGTGGAATTGGCTCAGTACTTTATGTCTATAGGATAAAGTCAATTTGAACCAGGTATCTTTCCCGATTGTATCCGAACGGCTATCCTGTGCATCATTTGGCTAACCATGAAAGTTGAGTCACTCGAAGAGTAATTTAACTGCGTGAATGAATGGGTAGACATCAAGTCAATACCCTGGTCATATGAACTGATTTTTATTTCTCCGATAACTAAACAGAAGTTGTTCGATTGATAATAACCAAGTCCAGTTGTTTAACCACCTTCCAGGTTTGTTCCTAATTATGGGATATTTAATGTGGTTTTAAAGCACATGGGACTGATGCGATGCATTTCGCTTTGTATCACTAGACGGAGTGTTATGAAAACCCAGCTCTACATTGGAACGAACTGTATGACCAATTGCTTGACATTTGTTGCCGTCCCAAAAACTTGGCACTTTACCACCGATTTCTTACTTACTCGCGGTCAAAAGGTAGATAAATAAGGGCAACGACTCTAGCCTTAACCAGCTGGATGTCGATCGAGAAATCTACGATGTCCCCCAATCAGCGCTCTACGTGAATCACGTTGGTGATTGAAATTACATATTGCAAGTGAATTCACATAGCCGGTGCTTGAGGAAGACCAATCCAATGAACTAATTGACAATGGTGGTGTTTCTGTTTTATTCCTCCAAACATTGACAAGGAGAGTAGTAGCACATGAAAAACTCCCTATTGTTTATGGTCTTTGTTATCAGAATGACAGAGGCCCACTTCAAAATTTACCGAGGTCTAAATAGAGATTGTAAGTCGCCGTTCAATCACACGGTTGGTACTGCAAATCCACATTTGAACAAGGTGCGAACTTTGCACAATTTACCCTTAGATGCTTAGTATGTTGGAACAGAAAGCTGGTATATTCCTCCCACTAGTTATAAAATACGGAAGCATGATGGTTATAAGCACATTAAATGCAGGACAAAATGCAATACTTAACCTCTGCAGCGCTGACCGAAGGGAATATATTTTGTCTGCAGAGAAGCTTTTATTGATAAGGCCAAAGCAATAGTTGCTTTTCAATGGATACCGCAACGTGCGTGTCACAGTTAAAAGCTTAAGCCCTTTAATCAAAAGGAAATTCAGAGCAGTGGAATAACGCTTGCTATTGATCAACATACCAAAGCTTATGTGTTCAGTGAAGACACCGGTGTTGGACCAGCGCATGTCACATTGTTTATACAAATTCACATGTAGCTTTGAAACAACTATGTTGGGCGCATTGATCGAAATCTAGGTGTTCGAATCATAAACATGTGTTAAATAGGACCCGCAAACGGCGGGAATATGCGACGGTGGCTGCCTGTGATTTTAAAAGCAAAGTTACGTCTTCAATCACAAGGCATTGATGAGCACCGGTTACTAGGTAAAGCCAGATAATTCAATCACACTTCGCATTTGCATTCAAACTTCTTATATAAGCAAGCTGATCAAAAATATCACTATCCATAAACGGTGTCCGTCACTCGGTTCAAAAACTGCTGACATTGAAATGTAAACTAGCCTGGAGGCTTGCACCGCAGCAAAGGAAAGGCAGATAACCATTAATTTATTTCATGTGACAATGTTTTGCATCTCTTGTTAGTTGCCTTTGTGTGGTTGATGAGTATGCGTGAAATAAAAATGTCATATCGCAGTTTTGTACTCCGATATTTTTATTTTATTTTGTAATTATATGTGGGCCATCAGACTATGCTCGTAATTCAGAATTTACATTTAATTGCTCATGAACAAATGTGGGATTTAGTCGCGTTTTACAGCCAGATGATTGCCCTTCATCTTCTCCACTTATTAATAACATCTGAATTTAAATTACAACTTTTCTTTTTTCTTATTTGTACAGATATCGATGCATATTACACAATCAACAGAACGGAGTCCAGCGGAACTTGCGATGAGTTTAAGAACAAAGTTAATATCATGTGGCATCCTAATATACCACATTCAGATGATTGTTTTATTCTATGACAGTTTGATTTAATTCGACCGCGCTAAACTGGTTTTTCTTTATATTGGCTCAAAATATCTGTGGCGTTGGACGCTGCAAAAATCAGTTTTATGGACTGCTCAGGTTCAAATTGTGCATTGTGTATATCCATCTCATTACTGGAAACTGCATACTTTGTTTACCCTACAGTGTACAAAACTTTCATCCGAATTGGTATTTTTAAGAGCAGTGTTTATTTGCTTATAAATTGGAAGCAATGCAAAATCAATAATGTGGTAGCTATGAAGAAGGCTGTTCTGAATACCAAATCTGTTGGCAATTTCTGCTTAATTGGCATGTTGCCGTTGTGTTTGCTAATAGCACATAGTCACTGTCACTCGTCTGCTATCCAAGTAATTTCATTGTGTACCCAGCAAGCACTTTCTTAGTGCTGCATGGAACGAGTCATTTAAAATGCAACGATATCGTGGAATTAAGCAAGCTTTTCTTTGTGACAATCACGATTAGTGATACAACGACTGAATTGTGACCATAAGCATTTTCGACATCAGGTTGTTTATGATTTCTAACTAGGTAGTAGCTTCGAAGTTAACCAGCAAGAATACCAATTATTCAGAAATGCGAAGCAATGAACCAACAGAAATAGTGGGCAAATTGTTGAGGGCAGGGACCATGGAAGCGCGAGACGTACAGGGAAAACGCAAGTAGTAATAATTTACATTCAATAAAGCCAAGGTGTTGTTTTAGAGTAAAGGACTGATAAATTAAACGTCGGTGGTAACTAAAGTGGTGCCTTTTGAAATCAATTACAGTGACGGCTTAGGATAATGTTAATCCAATAGATTTTGCATAAAGCAAATTTCCGATAAGTGAAATGTAGCTTTGGTATTGCTACAAAACTCGTAACATATTTAAAGTTTATTGCACGAAGGTGCTTATTGCCTACATTTTATGCTTCTGAGTAGGGCGACAAATCGAGTCTGGATTTGCAGTTAGTGTATAGTGAAATTCTCCGAAGATATCACGGTTTGGCAGTGCATAATTTGACAGCAACAAAACGGCGAATGCCAAAACTAGATTAAAACTTAGCAGCGGGAACACAGTAACTGTTTTCTTCGACCACATTTTAAATGGTAGAAACTTGATAAATTCAAGCTAGCGCTAAATCCTGAGTTCGTTTATTGGTGGCATTATCTGCTAATGTTTCGCTGACCAGACTAATTGCACCACGGTTGTAAACATCTTAAGCAAATATTTAATGTTTCAGCTATACCGGTACTAGATCGTACAAAATATATTCCATTATAGCTTATCATTAAAACTCTAAAGCAGCAAATTTCGCGGATTTTGAGTTATAAGTTGTTTATTTGAGGGATAATTTTGTTCGGCCTGTACTTCCATTTTCATTTCTTAACAATTTATTCATCATGGCTTATTCATATTCTGTTCTTGCCCCAGCTCCCGAAAAATGTTACCAGTAAATTTCTGTGTAGAAAAGCTGGCGAGGAAATGAGTCGTCGGGATGCAAATAGGACAGTTGTAAAGCTGGAACTGTACTTCGAGCGAACACAAAAAACATCCGACGATAAATTAACACTACATTCCACCTATGCTTCGAAGTTAAGAAAATCGCATGAGAAATGCCTATATCCTGTTCAAATCAGGCCCAGAACTTCTTTCTATGGTAAGCCGTTCAACAATATCTTGTTATCCAGTAGCATCCGTCCTTAACTCTACATCAGAGACTATGTGACGAGCACTGAAGTTCAGGTATTCATTCACACACAGAGAATACTTATCACTAGTAATGCAAAAATGTCCACTGAGAGAGTTACATAGTGTTAGTTACGTAGTAAAAGTGCCGAATTAACCTGTATATGATTTAGGAAATTAAAGTTAGCATTTGTATAGATGAATCATGATGTCACAGAAAGTGGTATGCTCAGCACCAGAGAAAAGTGGTTAGATAAACTGGGTGCGCATGTACTGAAAGAGGTGGGTGACAATAAAAGCAACTGGCTTACGAATTGCTTCTGTACACATAACACCGACTTGAGTTGGCGCAGACCGTAAACATCAGCAAAAATAGGCGGTGTTTACGGAATTCGCTCTGAAATTTGGCAGAAATGGAGTAGACTACATGGCAATACTTTTCAGTGTCCCCGAGACTGTACTTCATCAGATGCGACCTGATATAGCAATTAGAATATCTTGCTTCAGCTATGTTAAACCTCGTGATGCGCTCGTAAATCCTTTGAGACAGAAGCTTCGGAGTGTGACCGTCATATCATGTAGTATAAGAGCATGAGTATTTATAGATGGGTTTTATTCAGTCAACGCGGGCAGTCTAACTTTCAAAAGTGCTGCGAAGACGATTCCGCATGGTATACTATACACAAGCGGTCGCGAAATAGATCAATCCAACGGTTTCTTTCAGGCGTTTGCTAACGGTCTAAGCAACAGTGCTGCATTTGAATGATAAATACAAAAGAGTTTTCATCTTTATTTCGACCAAACTATATGGTCTGCTATTACACTTTTGTAGATGAGTTTATCTGTACACCCGATTTTTCCTAGTGCATGCCAGATGACGTGTTCTTCCTTACTAAAGGTATCCTGTGTGAAAATATTGCTCACCTGAAATAAAATATTGTGCACAAGATTTCGTCTGTAATGTAAGGGGACAGCACTGCTAAACTTGGTGCAATGTGCAGGCTAAGCGTGCTTTCGCTACACTTTTCTGCAGCACGATACATCAGCGTTTCGGTAAATATCTACATCCAGAAATAATGGCCGTTTTTCGAACTCGTGCTCACGTGCCAAAGTAAGATTCTGTCGCCCTTCATTAGAATTTTTAACAGTCCTCGCCTGAGAATTGGATTTGAAGTAACAAAGGTGCCATAATTGAAGCATATATATATATATATATATATATATGTGAACATACAGTCTGGAACAGGAAATATAATAAAATTTGTTTTTTAAAGCAGTCAGTTCCCTTCAGAAATTTGAAAAGCACGGTAACAAGTCAAAAACTGGTAGATGCATGCATTTCGTATTGTCTCTTCAGTACCATTAACAATAACCGGTTTGAAACTATATACTTAACTGTGCATGTGGCCGAATAAGCAAGAGGTGAAAAATGAATGACGAAATTCCACCCCCATGTCCACTGCAGTCTTAAGCTGACAAATAATTGCTTCTGAACACACAGGGCCGGCTTCATCCGGATTATCGCAACGGCCTCGGTGAAACGGAGGAAGCGGGAATTAAGGTGACGTATTATAACTGTGAACGCTGATCCAAGCTCTATCCGGTGACGCGTAGTCAGTAGGTGTTTACCTATTGAGGAAGCACGGAACTGCAGTGGGACAGGGATGTTGGTCAATTTCAGCTTGAACCTACCTTAGCACGTGTTCTTTTATTTGGGAAGTCAAAGACCGATTGGTTCTGCCTATGTAACTATCTCCGCAGTCGCACATGAATTTGTATATGCCGTGTGAGTTGGCCCCAATCGGTTGAGCTTCCTTCGTTGGAGGCACCGGCAAGTTACTGTTTCTATGGATGACCACAACCTGAGCAGCACAGTAACTTCTCTATGTAGCAGAGAATAAACGTTTCGCGGTTTTCAATACAGTGAAGTCACCCTTAAAAGGCAAATCGATATAGATATTTTTCTTGGCTGCCTTATGCACCAAGTCTTTCGGGCCTCGCTGTTGGCTGTGTCTCTCTCTGTACATCTACGTGGATAGCCATTGGCAACGAGTGTTGTGATTAACTCTATTTCGTCAGCTAGAAAATCCGCCGTGCAAATTCGTCTAACACGACTAACTAAAGCTGGTGAAGTGCAGGTATTGGCCTGACCAGGTTGCGTTTCTGTAGATAGACCTTCTAATGAGCCCGGCATCTCTGCGACTTGTGAGGATGTCTAAGAATGGCAGACAGTTCTTCTGTTCCACTTCGCAGGTGGCCCGCAAGTTGGTATGTGCGCAGTTGAGTTGCTGCATCAACTGGACAATCTGCTGCTCCCATGAACAAAAGGCCAATATGTCATCCACATAATATTTATAGTATGGTAACTCGGCTATTTCTGCGGGTATGCCTCTATCATCAGCATGAAGAAATCGGCAAGTACAGGGCCTAGTGAGCTACCATTGCCACATTATCGATTTGACGACATGAGGTGTTCTGAAAGTGGAAGCCAGCATTTGCTGTACACAGCAGTAAGGATGCCTTTAGAAATACGACTGGGATTGGTAACGAATAACAAGATTGCTCAGCTAGGTCACAAATATAATCAACATTTTGTTGTAGTGGGACGTTGGTGAATAGAGATTCCATATCCGAGGAACACATGATCATATCGGAGAGGTTGATGTCATCTAAGACACTGATAAGTTGAAACGAATCTTTAAGACTATATGCATTGGACAGTTGTCGTAGAGGCGAAGGTATATTCACTAGCCAGCGAGCCAATTTATGCTGCGGCGCATTTACCATTGTTAGAATCAGCCTAATTTGTACTCCACTCTTGTGCGTCTTCGGTGACCCGTATAGCTGCGGAGTAGTGCTTCCACTTGGCTTCAAACAATTATAGGTGTCACTATCAATCACGCGATGAAGTAGAAGCATTTCAAGATGGGCAGCTATGCTAGCTTCAACGTCGGCTACATTCTCCATCTTATTAAGTCGTTCAAATTTGTTCGTGACTTTGAGTATGCTACTCATTTTCTGAGCGTACTCGGCCTTGTTCATGACCACCACTCCAGAGCCCTTATCCGGTTTCATCACAACTACGTTCTTAGTACGTAGTTTACGCAACGCCTGAAGGTGTCGGCCTGTAAGTGCGCATTTTTCAGTCATTGGCACAGTCTAAACTTTGTTTGCAATGTCGGTTAATTTGTTTCTAAACCACAATCTCGTGACTGAGTGTTTGAAGCCCCTTAAATTAATCAAAAAGTTCTCAAAATGAGCTACTAAATACAACCCGTTCAGTCTTCTAGGAGCACAGTTCCATCGCACTCATTGCAATATTCCGAAGACGAAGTTTAGACTGATGACAGCGTGATCACTTTGAACCAACGAACAGTTTCCAGCCAACACATCAATCATATGCTCGGGGTTGGCAAGCACAATATCCAGTAAAGATAGCCTGCTACTTGTTCTGAACCGAGTAGAAAAATCTTATGTAATTTTATAGAGTAGCAATGGTTATACCATTGTTTAGATCGTTTTTCAGTTGGACTGAGCGTGGCAGGAGTTTCTAAACGATGTACGTTGCAAGCATCCATTGTAATAATTTGAGTTTACTTTCGCTGTAAACTGCATCTCAAAGCTACCACAAGCTGGCAGTCGGTTTCGAATGTAGAGTTAGGAGGTGGTACACCAAGACAACGAGGTAAACGTCACCGCAGTTTAACTACAAGCCGCCCCAAAGAGATTAGGGTAACTGAGTGCCTGAATTCTCCACGGCTTCGCATTTTAAGCCGCTTTGGTAATGCAGGATTATCCCTAATGCTTTTATGAGCCTATCGGCCCGAATCAGCGACACACCCGGTAGAGAAAATTCAGCATCAGTCGTTTCCTTGTGCAAGTACGGCTCCGTGATAGCAATGACATTATATAGTCGGACCATTTGATCTTACAGTTTGGACAATTTTTTAAAAGGACCCTGAGCATTCGTATACAAGCAGGCCAATGTCTCGGTTACTAGGACCCCACAGAGATCTAAAATTGTCAAGTGTGGGTAAATGATGACTAATGGGGGTTTGGCAGTTATTATTCTTCGATGGGATAATGACGCCTCGTCTGAAAGTTGATCCGTCGAAAAAGCGTCCCAATCTACGTTTAGACTAACGTCAGCGTCAAATAAAGCAGCAGTCAATTTAAACTACTGTGCCATCATCGGTGCGTTTGCTGCTTCATTTTCCCTGATATTTGTACTGTACAAAGCTTCCGCTACCATTAATTAGAGTTCAGAAGTAATATTTTTCCCATTTCTCCGCTATCGACCTAAAATATCCGTTGCTATTGCTCCGGCTGAACTATGGTTTTAGGATTCTAAAGCTTTATCCCCTTTAAATTGGTGAGAGTGTTATCCTAGTGAATGATAACGCCCCAAAATTATCCAAAGAAAGGGATTCCCGATTAAACCGCTATTGTTTTAAATTGTTTGCGTTCCGGCCTCTTGAACAACTTTAGAATACTTTTCTGGCACGCCATGTATGCAGATTGTGCTTAGGTGGCCTTTATTGCCATGTCCTCTTTAAATTTTTGTTTTGTGTGTCGCGAACTCCAACGGACATCAGGATAGTTGTGTATCCCACAGAATCGGTGACGTAGTGCGCTTGCAGACAGCAAAGCTTTTCCTACGTCGGTAATGTTTTGTAATATTACTAAGATATATCTGGGTTCTCCATGATGTGGCGAGTTCGAATGACGAGTAATTCTTAATAGTTCCATGGACTTGGCTTTCACAGTCGTCAGCACGCACAATGAGTTCCATTGGTCTCGCTCGTCCGACAACTTACCCCGCAGTGTGCTGGCGATAGATTCAGGGACATTTGAGTATACAATAGTCCGAGCACTGTTGTTGGATCTCTTTTTTTCCCGGATCTACAAGGTAACCATTTGTCATGACCTACTGACAAGTGTTATTGTTTTGCTGTTTGTCACTCCATTCGCTTTAACGTTGTTTGCAACAGTAGAGGCCGCAAGGTAACCTCCTCGACTGACCGTTGCAGCCATTTGGCATATCTAACTGATGTTCCGGAGCTTTGTCTCGCCAAAGGTCATTTGAGCTACAGCTCTTGAGTTACCCTCTTTACCTGCCCTTGTGTGTTTCTTGACATTCGGTACACTTCCAGCTTTGAGGGCGGCGCACGTCGGTCAGGCGAGGGTGGTGGTTGCAATATCACACGGTCCGTGGGATGGGTTATGCAGGCGCATGGACCGACAAGGAATGGCGAGTGACCGGAACCTGCTATGTGAATCTGAACACAGCGCTGAACACAGCTTGAAAGATCACAAATTCTTTCACAGCTGTTTCTAGATACACCGTGTTGGAATAATCTTAGGCTTCTCGTCGTACCTTGAAAATACACTAACGAAAGGTGTCACACAGAAAGTCAATCGGCTCAATATTATTGAGTTATCCGCTCGCGCTTACTTAAGGATGCTGGTGGAAACAGTTAGTGACTGCACAGACGTAGAAGAAAATTCCACGTAAGATGAATCACACTGTAGTGCTAGTGAATCCGATTCGAATGCGCGTACAGTGACAACGCTGCAAGCGGAAGATAGAGAAGAATCCAAATGAACCAGGAGCACGCACGCTGATATTTCGCCCATAAGCTCAGCGGATCGAATGAAGTTATGGATAAGATCGCCCACCTTTGCTGCGCGAATATGTCAAGCACGAATAAGCGAAACGGGGTTTAAATCGGAAAAAATTAGCAAACTACGAGACCGTAATAGCGTGAACATGGATACACTTCTCGTAACTTACGGAGATAACCAAAATGTACTAAAAACGAAAGAACATTTTACCGAGTGTCTCTTCGGATGGCACAAATATTCAAGCCAAGTGGCTGAACCATGATGTTTCTCTTGGTTAATTGCGCATCCCATCCACAGGTAGATGGCCTGAGCAACTTTCCATTGGAATATACGCAGACAATCGCGACACGGACGAAGTTTTGATGATGAATTTGGAAAGCCGTTACAGAAAGAAAATTGTGGAATGAATTTTTGTCACATCGACAACTACGTGTTATCTAGCTCATTCTCGGCGGTGATTGTCAGCGCCAAGATTTCTGTGCTCGATGCAATGCAGTTCCTTGCAAAAAGTTGGAGACAGGTTACCGGCACCAAATGAAAGTTTGCTTTCGGCATGCTGACTTCAGGCGACTGGCATCCGGTGTAATTTCTTATGAGGCCGTCATCGCTAAGGACAAGATCGGCGCTTGCACAATCAAGTTTTCAGTGTAGAACAGTTCGTCACCTTTGAAAACCATGTGGAATGTACTTCAGAATTGACAAAGGTTAATGATGAAATCGTCAGCAAGATTTTAGAGCCGACTGGAGCAGAAAGATGGCAGAGACACAGCGCATACGGTGTCGGATGTCTCCGTGAGTAACAGCAATCGGCGCATGTTAAAATCAAGTGTAAATCGCTGTATGAATGATCTGTATAACTGTCGAATTTTGCATAGGTTGAGCAAAGATTTCTTATTCAAATTGGACATCGTCAGTTCAAAAGTGACGGGAATAAAGGCTCTAAGTAATATGCAACTGAGGTTAGACTGCTTCTCAGCGAAAAGTATACCTAACGTCAGACTCTCTATTTATCCAGGTAAGATGCATTATGTTATCCTTTTTAAATGGTAGGTCATGAACTTCTGAATAAACGTCTTTTATGGGCTTTGGTTACAAGGACGTATTTATTCTTTTTATCAAGTGCAATTCAAGTGTATCCTGCATAATACTTCAATGGCTGTTTCTATTTTGGAAATATTGTCAATAGCGGTGGATTGCCTACCCTGGTCTGTTGTCCACATTTAAAATACCCTGATGGTTTGAGATGAAGTGGATTCGACTGTAAATAGTTCATAAAAGAACGATCTTAATAAGCTATGCTTAGTGGTCATTGTGCACCACACACAAATGACTACTATAGAAATTGGCTGGACGATATACTTCACTATGAAATAACTACAGGCGTGACCTTGCAACCCCGTTCTCGTGGTTGTGAAATTCCAACTTTACGGCCTAGAAGCTCCAACAACTCACGGCGTGCAATTCTAGGCATCCTGAGACATATTCTGTTGCCACCCATTTGTTTGTGAATACAAATCCTTGGAACAAAAGCGTCTATGATACTGGCCGATAAACGGGGTTCCCTTTGGTGATTTTTGTCGAATATAAGACACATTTGTCTACCAAGCACACACACACAAATCTAATGTTCGCTGTATCGAGTTTAATCGCATAAAGCTAATTAGTGATTAGGAATAAATTAAGCATAATATGTGTAGTATAATATATATAAATGTGCGCGCTGTTCTACCAACCTTATTTATTGTTTTCTAAAAACTCGCTGTTACTTCATTTCTCACCACAATTTCATGCGGATGCTTTGGATTCGTGCACGGATTGATAAAATGTTCAATTATTTTAGTTATGACAGCTGGAGTATGTATAGCTGTTACTGCATTTGTGCAATTTTGCTTGGCAAACTCACTGGAATTTGTCTACAGTCTTACATTTGATTTTTGATGGGGCACAAATAAACTTAAATATGCTTCAGCAGCCAAAATACAACTACTAGAATTCAGTGAATGTGGGTTAAAACGAAAAATTTGCGCTATATTTTAAGCAAACTAATAATGAGTAAAAACCTATCTGGTGAGTAGCGAGAAAGCAATAATTCCCTGTAGAGCTACAAACACTATCATTTGAAGTGTCCAAACAAACGTTTACTTGACATAGACAGCGGCGCTGCAGCACACAGATCATTCGAATATGTTGTACTTGTTAAAGTATTTGGTATCCCAGTTTGTTATACAGTATTTTCGTTGGTTTGATCGTATCCACTAGGTGAATGGAAGTAATTAGGAGCATACTTCTTTTTCATACTTTGAACTTTCATTTGAGAAGATTCCGTGTATTTACTGACAAGGTTCGCGCAAGTTGTTCATTTAGTGCAACCTTATGTCACTAAAGGACCGGTACGTATATCAATCTTGCATTCCATATAACCTTGATAAAAGTTGCGTTATCGTAACTCACTTCATTTCTGTTGCAGAACCAAGTAACTATGATTGGCCGGAACGTGGATACTGTGAGTTAGCAGCGATTAGTTCACTAACTTCAAATTTCCGAATGCGTTTAAACTTGCATCAGAATACCAGTATTCTGGGTTTACTGTGCATATGTTGAGTTGCTCGGTTAGCTAGAAAACTTGTTTGGAAATAATTTCGTCACTATTTGCGTTAGTGGTAAAATTGCAGAAGGGTTAGTAGCTTAGCTATATATATTATCAAAAATACATTTTATGTCTTGTTGTCACCGACCGGTTGATAGAAGGTAGAAATCGGCAAACGAATGTGGGTAAAAATCATTGGCCAAATTAATGTTATTAAATGTCTACAGTATGTACATAATTAGATTTGTGCAACATACACAATGTTAGCAACTTGGGTTAGCGCTGGCCGTTTTGTACAGTTAAACTTCAGAGTTGTAATGAAAAGTTATCCTTATGAACAATCTATAATCAGCACAGAGCATTAACTGGTAAAATCCATCCCTCGATTTGGTCTTGTGTCAACTATGCAAAGAGTGGCATAAACGACCAGCAATTTATGCGTCAAGACAAACGATCATGAAAAGATTACCAACAGATTTCCCAGCTAGACAATAAACTCAACAGCTAACGCAAGAAGCGCCACATAGTTGCCACAAATTCAAAAATAAGACAGAACTATTAGAAATTTCATCTGCAATTCAACGGTTAACATTGAAGTAAATCTCGGTCCTTACCAGCAAAAAGACCGCTTGCGATTTGGAGATGGTATGGTGTCGCTTCTCCCAAAACTGACACCCATAACCGGTTTCGTCCTCGTTTAGACTCACCAGATGGAGTTGGAACTCGGGGCCTATTGATTAAAGGCTGAAACTTGATCTCTATGACTCTAAGATCCGTGAGCAGCGCTTGACACGGTGGTGAGGAATTCGGAGTTTGTTTAGGATTGTACGCAGTGTGGTTGGATTGCGACAGGCAATTTCTATTCAGACCTCGGTTCAAGTTGTAGTGGAACTCGGTAATCACGATCACAAGGACTGCATCCAAATTGGAGGTCGCAGTTTCTTGACAGAGGTATAACCTTAATTCGAGTATAAATGTAATGTATTTTATTAAATGAAACATCAATACCAAAAGCATAATTTATCCTAGAAAGCAAGAATTAACTTTTGACTAAAGCGAACAGATTCGTAATAGACAAGACTATAAAATATGAAGAAACTAATAAACATAATTCTAAATCTAAATAATTACAATGAATTCAAAGATTAGTTTGGATATCGTAGGCGAACACTTCGATGGTGTTGAACGATCTACGAGCATGACATTGAAAATGGTTGTACTAGTTAATTGGGAAGGATTTGTCACATGTATAAAAGCAAATGCTTGGCACATCCGGAAGATGTTTAGCGTGAAAACTACAAGATGAAAATCGACTTCGGTAAAAGAGCGCGAACTACATGACCCACAAAGCGGTATACATTAACACATGATAGAATATTGCTGCCTGGAATTTAGGAGGATTTAGGCACTTTCCACTGTTTGTTCAGCGCCATTCAAATCACAAAGTGCCCATCGGATTAATCACGCAGTATAAGCGTGTCAAGGCATCGTAAGGCGTTTTTAGAATAAGATTGATGGGAGAGCATTGAATACATGCGCCACGATGACTTTCATGATCATTGACATTTGGAACAAGAAAACGTTTCGTCGAAATTCGAGTCGACTTTATTGCGTGATCAAATAAAAATAACGAACTCTGAGATTTGGCTTTTATCTGAGTGTCGAAAGATGTTGGCTTGTGGGTTTGGGGTTTCTTATGATGGGACGCAGCATTTCGATACCTCCCCGTAGACGCAGAAAACGTCCGCTGTAAATACTTACCATGTAACCTGTCTTGTTTGGGAAGGCGAGACAAACCTCTGGCTATCTTCGTCGCCCACCGATGTGAAGTTTCAAGTGTTTTGAGATGATGCTTTCGCGTTGTTGCCACGTTTCGATAACGTATTCGAAAGGCGGCCTAGTTTACGCACTAAGCATATTCGGAAAGACTGAGGTGTAATATTTTCCGAAAGCCCCGCGGAAGATGCTAATGTGCTGGATGGCTTTATGTGACGCCTTTATATTCTGCTGCGAACAGCCCGATTTATCTTGCTGGACCACGCTGAAATCGCACTGTAAGGCAAGAAAGTTTGAGAAACTGATTAAGAATGTTTTGATGAAATGCATTAAATCGCTTGGCTTATAGACGTGTCACAGCATGGTTTCTTGGTAAACGATATTTCATAACCTGACAATTACATTATTTAAACCATGTTTTATGTTCTATTGACTCAGTATAAGCAAACGTATTTCTATTCTTGGAAATGGAAAACGCATTCGATGGAGTGCACCATAAACGGCTGCTGAACTAAGTTGCCTTCGTTGGAATTCAGGACCCACACCTAGGCTGGCAGTTGTCCCACCTGAGGCGCTGTTCCCAAATAGTTAATATAACTGACCACCACTCTTCACCACGTCCAATCACTAGTGGTGTTATTCAAGGGAGTGTACTTGGTCCGTTACTGTACTTGCTCTACGTCAATGACATAAATGTAATTATCAGTCATGGCATGCCGTTCCTATTTGCACATGACATAAAGATACTCCAGCAATTACGACAATCTTCACTTAAAGATAAACTACTGCTCATACAGGAAGACCGCCACTCCCTTGAGAAATGCTGTGACACCTGCGTGATGAATTTCTCGGCGAAAAATCTAGCGACATGTATCGCGGCTGTTCGATACCCGAGTGATCAATTACACCCAAAGGCGAACACCTTTGTGTACCGCTGTTTACCCGCTACCTCTGAATCAGGTATCCTTGCACCACCAACTTTTCAAGACAAGTGGAAAAGCAGCTGACTAGGGCCAGCAAAGCAATAGCTTAAATATTACAAAACATCCACATAAGTCCAGCCAGAGCAAAACTTCTAAATCCCCACACGCCCCATATTTGAGTACTAGAGTATCATTTGTGACAGCATAAGGAAATCGGGCAATCTCTGGAAAGCAGACAAAGGTCACTTACAAAACGTCTGCTAGGTAAAACATTCACTAAGAACTATCGGGAGGGCTGTCAACAATTCCAGCTCGATCCGCTTTGGCTACGCAGATTAAGACATAAGATGCTTCTGTTCAACGTGATATATCAAATCGCCTACTGCTATTTGCAATTCCTAGAACTACAACATAGCTCGACAAAGGAGTTACGCAATAAGGAGTTTACCCTGAGTGTATCCAGGGGCAGGGGAAATCTGCGGCCTAACTATTTCCTTATCAGATATGCTGTTCTTTGGAATAAGCTCCTAGTCGCAATCAGATCGTGTGACAACGTAACAGTCTTTCGCGTTAAGCTCACCCATTACCTGGATTTGCGCGCGGTTATAATCCAGTTCTCTTGGGAGAGATCACTTGATGACTAGTGCCAAGAAACGCCAGACAACATCTAACGAGTGAAACAAAATAACTTTTCATACTGTATGACACATCCGTTGTGGTGCTGCGATTCACTATTCCAACGAATGCACTTTGAGCCGAAACACACCTGTGTTAATGCAAACAGTTGAAACGGCAAAAGCTATGCAAATCACACAACCGTGTGCCATTCATACATGAGCATGACATATACTGTAAAATATGATCTGTGCCTTACGATGCCTTGCTTATACTGCGCCATTAATCAGGTGGGCGCTTTGTGATTTGAATGGCCCCGAACAAACAGAGGAAAGTTACTGCATCCTCCTAAATTCCAGGCAGCAATATTCTGTCACGTGTTAATGTATACCGCTTCGTGGGTCATGTGGTTCGCGCGCTCTTTTACCGAAGTCGATTTTCATCTTGTAGTTTTCACGCTAAACATCTTACCGGATGTGCCAAGCAGTTGCTTTTGTAGTTATCATAATCAAATGTTCCATTTCTCATCTCGGCTCAAGTTTCTTGTAGATCAATGAATTTGTTTTATCAGACGACACTTTTCTCGTTGTGCACTGCTACCCATGTTCATACTCTAGTGTTGGTCGCTCGCATTGATATTGTCGTCTAGCGCATCTCGATAAGACCTCGCTGAAACTGTTCTGCTCTATACTTGTCAAAAACCTACAGCGCCTTCGTGCTAAGGTCATTTCTTGTATGGGAGTTGTACTCGCGCAGTTACATCAGCCATTTTATTACATTTGTCTTTGAATGGGGGTGTGATGTTAACCAACTGGCGTCGTCATCATGGTATACAGGATGAAAAATGATTGCATGCATTGGAACATGCAGCAAACCTGTGGTTAAATAAAGTAGACACTCTCTGGTTCCAGTTATCCGCATCCACACGCATTGTGCAGAGTAGAAATGCCGTGACTTACTCTCCGAAGTGTGTTCAAGTGTTTGTATACCAGCTTGGGTTTGGAGCAAACTTTTGTCGCCAATTCTTGTTAGTTCTTAAAGTTATCCTCCCAAACGAGCTTGACAGTCTGGTTACTTTGTGTTTTATGTACATCGGAGATTTACTAGTTCAGATGTGCTTTGTATGCAAGCCAACTGGATTCCCCAAATGCAATGTGTTATTCAGTCCTGCTCCAATTGACCAACATTATTCCAACAATGGATTTTGCTTTTGGAAGTGCTTGTGAAGAAACTGCATCTTTTATTGACAAATTTAACCAAGGTCACTTCAAAGACAATTCGACACAATTCGCACCGATGAGGTCGGACAGGTCATTCAATTTGTTTACTGCGTCAGATTCCTCGGTGTTCTAGAGAACACTACGCGTAAAACTTACAGTGGAACACTAGTTTCGCCTGAACGCTGCGGTCCAATGTAGTGCACTAGTTACTACGTCGAGTCCGAGTTTTTCATTTGTAAATAAGTGGTCCAAAATGGCCGATTTGTTTTCGGTAATAAAACGCATTTGATCATTAATATTGATGCACGGCAGTGAACCGGGGATTCCTTTTCAGTTACCAAAAATGCCTGGGGTTTCTTTGCCTTACAGATTAAATTGCCTT